TGCAACCTGTTCATGGACTACGAGACGTTCGGCGAGCACCAGTGGGCGGACTCGGGGATCTTCGAGTTCGTGCGGGACCTGCCTCGGGCGGTGTTCGATGTTTCGCCGGGCCAGAACCACTTCGTGACGCCGAGCGAGGCGTTGGCGCAGTTTGACGCGGTGGGCGAGTACGACGCGCCGCACATGACGAGCTGGGCGGACACGGAGCGTGACCTGAGCGCGTGGCTGGGCAACGCGATGCAGAGCAACGCGCTGCACGAGCTGTACCGTCTGGAGGCTTCGATCAAGGAGGCGGTGCGTGCGGCGGGTGGCGGCGGCGAGGCGGCGGAGCTGGCGGGGTACGTGCTGAACGACTGGCGGAAGCTGACGACGAGCGACCACTTCTACTACATGTGCACGAAGTACTTCGCGGACGGGGACGTTCACAAGTATTTCAACCCGTACGACTCGCCGTACGACAGCTACATCAACTTCATGAACGTGCTGGACAACCTTCGGACGCGGATCGATTCGGGGGCTTTGGTGGGGCGGTGAGTGGCGCGGGTGAGGAGGAGCGCCGCTGCGCGGCGGGTGGGTTGGGATGAGTACGAACCCACCCCAACCCCTCCCTCTGGGAGGGGCTTGATGGATGCCGCTGCGCGGCGGGTGTTTTGGCGCAGGCGTTGGTGGTGGCTGTTGTGGTTCAGCGGGCTTGAGTTGGTGTGCGTGCGGTTCGGCGTGTCCGCTCGTTCCACTCGCGGTTGCTATGGCACAGGAGCGGATGGGCTCGGTACGTGAATCGATGGGGTGTGCTGGTCCCCTCACTGGCGTTCGGGGTCGCTAATGGTCCGCTCGCTTTCGCTCGCGGCTTCTGTTGATGGCTTAGGCGAACTTCCACCATGTGTGGATGTCGAGGCCGGTCATGTCGGCGAAGGCTTTGTTGTCTTCTTTGAAGAGGGTGGCGACCTCTTTGGCGTCTTCGTCGCTCAGGGGTGGGTACTCGGCGGGTTTGAAGTTCACCGTGTTGATGACGCGCATGAGGGCTCGTCGGATGAGGCCGAACTTCGGTGTGGTGAAGTGGATCTCGAGGTTGCCGTCTTCGTCGTAGCTCGAGACGTTTTCGGGCTGGCCGGCGGGGGTGAGGTGGTCGTTGGCGAAGCGCATGAGGGCCATGCTTCTGGGCATTTTGTGGGTGTTCTTGCGTTCGCCTCGTTCGGCCTCGTCGACACGGACGGACTCGTCGACGCCGAGGAACTTCCAGATCTCGCGGAGGGTTTCGTTGGGTTCTGTCTTGAGCTGCTCGAGGAGGATCCAGTGGCAGCGGTCTCGGCCGAAGACGTCGATGTAGTCCTTGAGGTACTTGGCGTAGCGGGACTGCTCCCAGAAGTGGCGGCAGTTGGGGTCGTCCATGCATTCGACGAATGAGCCGATGCGGCGGCCTCTGCGGTAGGCGTGCCAGTAGTTGGAGTAGGCGCGTTTGACGGGGTCGCGGAAGATGAACAGGAGTTTGACGCCGGGGAGGTCGTTGTTGATGCGCTCGGCGATGTACTTGCCGTGGATGTAGGTGGGCGTGGTCTCGCCGATGGCTTTTTCGTTGGTGACGTGGCCGAAGCAGGTGGCGTACCAGTCGAGGCCCTTTTCGTAGAGGCCGTCGGCGTCGAAGTAGTGGGTCTGCTTCGGTCGCGACATGGCGATCTCGGGGTGGGCGTCGAGGTAGGCGTGGAGTGAGGTGGAGCCGCACTTGGCGGAACCGGGGACGATGAAGGTGGGCAGGTGCTTCTTCGTCGTCGGTGCGGGCGTGTCGCGGGTTGTGGTCGTGGCGGTGGTCATGGATGGTCAGTTCCTGATCAGCGCATCGTAGATGGTGGCGGCGCGCTCTGCGATGGCGGGCCAGGTGTATCGCTCGCGGACGAGTCTGGCGCCGCGCCGGCCCGCGGCGTCGCGGAAGTCGGGGTCGCGGAGGAGTCGGCGGAGGCCGTCGGCGGTGGACTCGGCGGTGAGGTCGGTCTCGGCGCCGGCCTCGAACTCGGTGACGTCGGGGTAGTGGCACTCGCGGGTGACGACGACGGGTGTGCCGAGGGCGAGGGACTCGGTGATGGCCATGGAGAACCCCTCCTGGCGGGAGGGGAGGACGAAGAGCTCGGCGTCGCGGTAGGCGGAGGTTTTGGCGGGGCCGTAGATGGGGCCGACGACGAGGACGGTGTCCTGCAGGTTGGCCTTGGCGATGCGTGCGTTGAAATCGTCGATGGCGTCGCCGTCGCGGGGTCCGGCGACGACGAGTTTCGTCTGCGGGAACTCGGGCGCGACGATGGCCCAGGCGTCGGCGAGGATGTCCAGGCCCTTCTTGTAGTGCAGGCGGGAGAGGAACAGGGCGTAGGGGGCGTCGCCCAGGCCCTCGATCGAGTCGCGGAACTCGCGGGGTTTGGTCTCGATGTCGACCTCGTCGATGAAGACGCCGTTGGGGATGATGTCCAGGCGGGGGCCGAAGTTGTAGCGGCCGATGATGGTGCGCTCGTGGTCGTTGAGGCAGTGGATGGACGCGGCCTTGCCGACGAGGGACTTGTGCGTGACGGTGAGGGCGAACTTCTTCTTGGCGGCGCCCTGGGTCATGACCCATTCGTCGAGCATGCCGTGGGGGCAGAGGACGTAGGGGACGTTGTTTTTGCGGCACCACTTCCCGACACGGACGAGCATGGGCTTCCAGAGGCCGTGGAGGTGGACGACGTCTATTTTGCCTTGCGCGTGGAGCTCGTCGAAGAGGGCGAGTTCGGGGCCGGAGGTCAAGGTGCTGAGGGGGCCGTCGGCGATGGCGCACTGGCGGATGGCGACGGCGTCGATGCCGGGCGTTTCGCGCATGAAGGCGTCGATGCGGTCCTGTCGCCCGTCGGGCTGGCCGCCGACGATGGCGACGGTGTGGCCGAGCCTGGCCTGCGCGGCGGCGAGTCGGGAGACGACGACGGGTGGTCCGCCGGTGTCGGGGTCGAGCGAGTTGATGAGGTGGACGATCTTCACGCCGTGGCGGCTTCCGGGTTGGCGGTTCGGGCGTTGTACTCGTCTTCGAATCGTTTGACCCAGTCTCGGTCTTTCTCGTAGCCGAGCTTGACGAGCATGTCGCCGGCGAGCTCGTCGAAGGTGCGGGCGGCGCCTGGGGTGAAGTGGTTCTTCCAGTCTCCGGCGATGCCCTTTCGGATGAAGGAGGTTTTGTCTTCCTCGCCCTGCTTTCGTCCGGTGTCGGAGGCCATGGAGAAGTGCTCGATGGTGCGTTCGAGGCGGCGGTCGTCGGCGGGCTCGCCGGTGACGTGGGCGATGGCCTTGCTCATCGCCTCGACGGGTCTGGTGAGGAGGTCCTCGTAGGTGAGGTAGCCGATCCAGGTGTGGCGATCGGGGTCGTACCAGGAGCGGTTGTAGTCGGCCCAGTTGAGTCGGGCGCCGCGGGGGTTGGCGAACTCGTGGCGGAGAAAGGCGCTCATGTTCTCGCCGGGGGTGTCCATGTCGAAGCCCTCGCCGAAGAGGGCGTTGAAGGTTTTGAGCTGCTGCGCGTGGTTGAAGGCCTTCTTCGTCTGGATGTTGCGCATGTGGTAGAACCAGTAGGAGGTCATGACGTCTCGTCCGTCGCGCGTGAGGACGAAGACGTTGCGCACCTTGGGCGCGAACTTCCAGTGGGAGTGGATGACGGCGCGGCATCCGATGGGGAAGACGGAGGGGCCGGGTCGCGCGACGCCGAAATAGTCCGCGAGCATGCGCGCGAGCCACGTCCCGCCGGAGCGGGGGTACTCGCAGACGTAGTACTGCGGGATGGACGGCCCGAGGCGCGGCGCGAGCGCCCGCGTGAGCTGATTGGAGACGCGCTCCATCTGGACGCGGAGGCGGGATTTGGTCGCGTACTTGGGCATCGCGCGATCCGTGTGCCTGGCCCGGGGTCTCTTGTCTTACGCGGGGACGGCGCTGGTGGCCCACTTGATGAGGACGTCGGCGACCTCGGGGCGGGAGAACTCCGCCGGGGGGCGTTCGCCCTTGGCGAGGAGCTCGCGGACCTTGGTGCCGGAGAGGAAGATCTGGTCGCCCTCGATCTTGGGGAAGGTCTTGGAGGAGACCATGCCCTGGGCCTTCCGGGAGTAGGCGGCGTGCTCGAACTTGAGGGGCTCGATGCCGAGGTTGTCCTTGTCGAGCTCGTCGAAGATGAGCTGGGCGTCGTAGGTGCCGTAGTAGTCGCCGACGCCGGCGTGGTCGCGTCCGACGATGAAGTGGGTGACGCCGTAGTTCTTGCGGATGAGGGCGTGGAGGACGGCCTCGCGGGGGCCGGCGTAGCGCATGGCGGCGGGCATGACGGAGAGGAAGGTGCGCTCATCGACGAAGTAGTGCTCGATGATGGTCTGGTAGCACTCCATGCGGACGTCCGCGGGGATGTCGCCGGGCTTGGTCTCGCCGACGAGGGGGTGGATCATGAGGCCGTCGCAGATCTCGGTGGCGCACTTGCAGAGGTACTCGTGGGCGCGGTGGATCGGGTTGCGCGTCTGGAACGCGGCGACGGTCTTCCAGCCGCGCTTCTCGAACTCGGCGCGGGTGTCGGCCGGGGCGTTGCGGTGGTCGATGAAGGCCTCGGGGCCGTCGGGGTCGACGCAGACTTCGAGGACGTGGACGGGGCCGGCGAGGCAGGTGTCGCCCTCGTTCATGACCTGCTTGACGCCGGGGTGGGCGTCGTCCTCGGTGCGGAAGACGTTGGGGATCTCGAGCTTCTTGTCGTGGGCGTAGACCTCTTCGACGTCCATGACGGCCTGGAGGACGCCGTTGGGGGCGTAGAGGGCGACGCGGTCGCCGACCTTGGGGGCGTCGGCCTTGTCGACGGAGAGGAGGATCGGGATGGGCCAGATATCGCCGGAGGCGAGCTTCATGTCGGTGCAGACGGACTTGAAGTCGGCCTCGCCCATGAAGCCGGTCAGCGGGCTGAAGGCGCCGATGCCGATCATCTCGAGGTCGCAGGACTGCTTGGCGGAGAGGTCGATGCGCTGGAGGTTGGCGGCCTCGGACGCGAGTTTCTTGGCTTCGTCGCCGGTGGCGACGCGGTTGACGAGGGAGCCGCCGTGAGGCGTGATCAGGCCGGACATGGTTCTCTCCGTTGGTTCGATGCGAGGTTGTTGGTTCGATCCGCCTTGCGGGGCGGGTGTTTTCCGTTTCGGCCCCACCGCCGAATCGGGGCACAGAGTGTAGCAACTTCCGGGCGCGGAAATTGCGGGTTTACCAGTCGTATCCGAGGCGTTCGACGGTTTCTCGGAGGACGGGCTCCATGTCGGCCATGTGCTGGTCGGAGAGCTCGTCGCGCCACTTGTCCTTGCGGGTGGGGTCGACGGTTTCCCGGACGTAGGCGAGGACTTCCTCGCTTTCCGAGAGCCCGCAGAATGCCAGGATTTCGCGGCATCGGGCCTCGGGCTCGCGCATGAAGTCCTCGTAGCGCATGTCGAGCCACTGGCCCTCGGGGAGGGTTTCGCGGAACTGGAGGACGGGCTCGATGGTGTGGCGCCACTGTTTGGCGAGGAGGACGTGCTGGGGGTCGTGCTCGGCCCATTCGCGCCAGCCGGGGGGGAGGGGGCCCCACATGGACATCTTGCCGCCGAAGAGCTTGGCGCCGAAGGTTCGGAAGGCGCGGGGGACGAGGGAGGGCCATTCCCAGACGGGCATGCCGAGGAGGCGTTTGACGATCCACTGGGCGTCGGGGGTGCCGGTGTTGACCTCGCGGGTGGAGCGGACGACGGCGCGTCCGTCGCGGTAGATGTGGACGAAGCGGGCGTCGGGGAAGGCCTCGCGGACGAGCTCGAGGCGGAGGCAGTTGCTGGGGGTCTTCTCGAGGAGTCGCGGCTTGCCGGACTTTGCGAGGAATTTCGCGAATTCCTTGCGGATGTGGCTGATGATCTTGGGGGAGGCGTCGGCTTTGGTGAGCTTGTCGTCGGGTTTGTAGGTGTTGCCGTAGACCCAGACGTGGCGTGGCTCTTCCCAGTAGGCGGTGTCGGGGTGGTGGTCGAGGACGTGCCCGAGGAATGTTGTTCCGGAGCGGTGGGTCCCGATGATGATGATGGGTTGGGTGACCGTGTCGCTCATATGGGGTGCTTCGTGATCTGTGGCGCATCGAGTTCGCGTTGCTTGACGAGGCGCGCGGGGTTGCCGGCGTAGACGCCGCCTCCCGGGATGCTCTTGTAGACGCTGGAGCGTGCGCCGAGGACGGAGCCCTCGCCGACGGTGACGTTGGGGCCGACGAAGGCGTCGGCGGCGATCCAGACGTTGTTCTCGAGGACGATGGGCGGCCTCAGGAGGGGCATGTCGGGGGCGTTGTAGTCGTGCGTTCCGGCGCAGAGGTGGGCGTATTGCGAGATGGAGACGTTGGACCCGATGGTGACCTTGCCGAGGCAGTAGAGGATGACGTGGTCGCCGACGGAGGAGTTGTCGCCGATGGTGAGGTTCCAGGGCTGCTCGACGGTGACGGAGGGACGGATGCGGACTTTGCCGCCGATCTGCGCGCCGAAGGCGCGGAGGAGGGCGTTGCGGAGGCCGTACCAGTTGTGGAAGGTGCACTTCATGAGGATCTGGCCGCCGTAGTTCCAGGCGACGCGCTTGATCTTCTCGGCGATGGAGTAGGGGCTGACGGAGCGTGACTCGACGGCGGCGCGGTACTCGGCGCTTTCGGTGGCGGGCGCGTTCGCCTGCTCGGCGTCGTGCTCTGGTTTGGTGGGGTGGTCGGTCACTTGAGCACCCTGGGTTTGATGGGCTTGGCGGGGTTGCCGATGTAGACCATGCCGGCGTCGAGGGACTTGTAGGTGGAGGAGCGTGCGCCGAGGACGGCCTGGCGACCGACGTGGACGTTGGGCCCGACGAAGGCGTCGGCGCCGATCCAGACGTCTTCGGCGATGGTGATGGGCGGGCGGAGGAGGAGGAAGCGGTGGTCGGTGTAGTCGTGGGTTCCGGCGCAGAGGTGGGCGTACTGGGAGACGATGGTGTGCGCGCCGATGGTGATGTGGCCGAGGGAGTAGAGGATGGCGGAGTCGCCGACGGTGACGCCGTCGGCGAAGGTGAGGTGCCATGGGATCTCGATGTGGACGGAGGGCCGGATGCGGACGCCCTTGCCGACGCGGGCGCCGAACATTTTGAGGAGGTTGGCGCGGAATCCGTACCAGTTGTGGAACGAGAGCCGGAAGAGTGGGCGGCCGACGAGCATCCAGACGACGCGTTTGATCTTGTCGCGTGTGGACCAGGGGCTGGACTCGGGTCGCATCTGGCTGACGACGGAGCTGAGCATGCGCTCGCGCTCGCGGAGCATTCGGGGTCCGGCCTCCATGGACTCGCCGTCGGCGTCGGCCCCGGTGGTCGCGGTGGTCGCGGGGCGGGAGATGTCGCCCTCGGAGATGACGCCCTCTTCGATGGCGAGGCCCTTGCGCGCGGGGGCGGTGGCGGGGACGGCGCGCTCGCGGTCCATGCCCAGGCGTTTCAATTCCGCGCATTTCAGGGAGATGAAGTAGTCGTACATGCTGAGGAACATGCAGAATCGGAACCCGGTGACGCCGTCGAGGAAGCCCATGCGGAAGAAGTACATGTAGAGGAATCGCCAGACGCCGGCGAAGGGGATGTTGGGCTGGACGTTGTATTTCAGCCAGCGGCGGAGGGCGATGCCGGATTCGAGGCGTGTGGCGAGGACGCCCCGCTTCTTTTTCTTGCCGGCGATGAGCTCGCGGGCCTCGAGTGTGGAGTAGCGGTTGTGCTTGGCGATGAAGTGCTCGAGGCCTCGTCGGTCCTCGTGGAGCATCATGTGCTTGAGGCGTTTGGAGGTGCCGTCGACGACCATGTGCTCGTGGACCTCGCGGTCCTCGTACCAGGCGCGCCCGTTCTTGAAGAAGCGGAGGTTGTAGCTGGGGAAGAAGCCGCAGTGCTTGATGGGCTTGCCCATGAAGTAGGTGAGTCGGTTGACGTAGAAGCCGGCCTCGTGGACGAGGTCGACGGGGGTCTGTGCGATGGTGAGGAGCTCGTCGCGGAGTTTGTCGGTGATGGACTCGTCGGCGTCGAGGATGAAGATCCAGTCGCTCTTGAAGGGGAGGGTGCGGAGGGCCCAGTTCTTCTGCTTGGCGTAGCCGAGCCAGGGCTGGACGATGACCTGGGCGCCCATGGCCTCGGCGATCTCGCGTGTGCGGTCCGTCGATTCGGAGTCGACGACGTAGACGGTGTCGGCCCATCCGATGACGGATCGGAGGGCGTGCTCGATGTTGAGTTCCTCGTTGAAGGTGAGGATGAGGACCTCGACGTTGGAGCGCGTGCGGCCGTCGTCCGCGCCCCCCGGAGCATCGCCCGTGGCGACGTCCGCGGCGTTTGCCGGCTCGGCGGCGGCTTCGACGTTGGTGTTGATCGCGGCCTCGTCGTTCACTTCTCGGCGCCCTCTTTCACGAGGTGTTCAGTGTAATTGGCGTGGCCCTCGCGTTCGTGGAGGGCGGGGACGCCGGCGTTGCGGAGGACGGCCTCGCAGGTGTCGAAGCTGCGGTTGGCGAGCAGGCGTCGCAGCTTGCCCTCGGTGGTTTTCATGCCGACGTAGCACTTGAATTTTCGCTTGAGGGGCATGGGGACGCGCGGGGTGTTCGGGTCGAAATCGCGCGGGTGGAGGTAGATGACGGCGGGGATGCCCCGTTTCTCGAAGCTGTCGAAGCCGCGCTCGATCATGAAGCCGGGGAGGAATCGCATGTATCCGCCGCCGGAGAAGGGGATCTCGGCTTTGCCGAGCTTCATGATGGACATGGGGAGTTCGGGCATGGGCTTGCCGTTGGGGGCGGTGAAGTCGTGGGCTTCCTGCTGGCAGGCGTAGCCGCCGTGGCCTCGGGAGGCGGGGAAGAGGGAGGCGTCGTAGGTGATGCCCAGGTCGTGGAGGACGTCGAAGGCCCACTCGGTCCCGGGCGTGATGGAGAAGGAGGGGGCGCGGAAGCCGCGGACGGGGGCACCGGCCTGATCGGCGATGACGTCGATCGAGTGCTTCATGTCCTCGTGGAATTCGTCGGGGGTGAGCTCGTAGACCTTGCGGTGCCAGTAGGAGTGGGTTCCGACTTCGTGGCCGTGATCGACGATGTAGCGCACGATTTCGGGGTATCGCTCGGCAACCCAGCCGAGCATAAAGAAGGTGGCTTTGGCGTTGTATTCGCCGATGAGGTCCACGATCCATTTGGATCGATCGACCACAATCGACGGGTAGTCCGGCCACTTTGAAGTGTCCGCGACAGCCTCGATTTCCACCATGTGGAACCAGTCTTCGATGTCGAAGCTGAGGGCGTGCGTGATTGGGGGCGATGGGGATTTCGCCATTTCGGGATTACGGGATTTCGGGGTTGTGTTATCCATCCCGTCTTCCTCGGTCGAGGCTCTGTACGAGCGCCCGGAGCATGTTGCTTTCGCGATCGATTCCTCGCTCGATTGATTGCAGCGTGCCTTGTTCAATCAAGCCGATTCGGTTTGCGAAGAGAAGGAGTGTTTCGAACTCTCTGAGGCTCCCTTGTGCGATTCTGAGAAATCGGATGTAGTCCTGTCTGGACTGACGCCCCCAGCCTTCGGCGATATTCGCTGGAATCGACACGCCGCAGCGTTTGATCTGCGAGGTCAGTCCGTATCGCTCCTCCTTCGGGAACGACGCGGTGAGACGGTACCCCGCTTCGGCGAGGTCCATACCGATCGACCATACTTCGAGGTCTTTGTATGACTTGATGGTCGATCTGGTTCCCATTGCTTCCTTCGGTTTTTCCCGTAATGGCGTAATCCCGAATTCCCTCAATCCCAGTTAGACAAACCGATGCCCGTTCTTCTTGAAGCGTAAGACATCTTCCCTCGTCGGCATCGAGAAATGCGTCTGCTGCTCGGCGTCGTTTTCGATGAGCTCGGGGTCGCCGGCTTCGACTTTGCGCACGCACTCGATGATCGCTTCCGCGGCGAGGTCTTTTGAGCGTTTCATGATGTCTTCGAGGGTGTCGTGCGCGTGAATGCGGTAGGTCTTCTGGACGACGATGGGGCCGTTATCGAGCTTGGCGTCGACGTAGTGGACGCTGACGCCCCCCACTTCTTCGCCGTTGGCGAGGGTCCAGAAGCTGGGCATCAATCCTCGGTATTTGGGGAGGAGTGCGCCGTGGCAGTTGACGATGCCGTGGGACGTCTGCTCGCGGAGGGCCTTGCGATAGAGCTGGGTTCCGGAGATGGAGACGATGAACTGGACTCCGTGGTCGCGGAGGTGTTTGAGGAACTCTTCTGAGTTCACGTCGACGGCTTCGGTGACCTCGACGCCGTATTTCTTGGCGACGGCGCGCACGGAGTAGCAGGTCTTCGTGGAGCCCAGGATGTCGTTGAAGAGCTTGGCCTGGATTTTGCGCCAGATGTAGTTGCGGAGTTTCCACTGGAAGTAGTTGAAGCCGTAGAGCTTGTAGAGATCCATCGCCGTCTGAAAGACGGTGCGCTTGCCCTGGGCGACGGACTGGATGTTGATGCCGGCGGTGGAGTCCGCGAATTCGCGGAGGTACTTGTCGAGCACCTTGGGCAGGAGGAAGGGGTCGTTCTGGATGAAGACGTATTTCTTGAGCGTCGGCATCACGCGGCCCCCTCGAGGATGTCGCAGAATTTGCTGCAGAGGACGTCCATCTTCATCTCGTTGTCGATGTAGGCCTTGGCTCGTGCGCCCATCGCCTCGAGTTCTTCTTTCGGCGTGCTGGCGATCTCGCGGACGGTTTTGATGGCGAGCTCGGTGTCTCCATGCGGAATGTGCCAGCCGACTTTCTGGTCTCGGATGATGTCCGACGCGTGGCAGGGGTCGGGCGCGATGAGGAGGATGGGCCTGGCGACGGCCATGGCGCCGTAGATCTTGCAGGGGTGGACGACGCCGACGACGTCCGGGCCGACGGTGACGATGTGGACATCCGCGGCGCTCAGGGAGTAGCGGAGGTCCTTGAAGGGCTGGTAGGGGAGGGAGACGAGGTTGCTCGGCGTGTGCTTCTCGATGGCGTTGTCGACGTCTTTCTTGCCGACGCCGCCGCCGATGAACATGAAGTGGACGTCGGTCTCGTCCTGCATGCCGATGGCGGCGTCGACGGCGGTGACGACGGGAGTGGAGTAGCCGTGGTTGCCGGAGTACATCATGACGAACTTGCCGTTGAGCTCGTGCTTGTCGCGGAACCAGTTGTCCTCGTGCTTGACAACGTCGAGGGTGTCCTCGTGGGGCCAGGGTGGCATGGTGGTCATGCGGTCGGCGACGTCGATCTTCTTGAGGAGGCGGTCGCCCATGAAGCGGTCGAGGACGACGATGGCCTTGGATCGCTTGGAGACGAAGCGCTGCAGGGCGTTGAGCATCTTCGCGGCGAAGGAATCGGCCTTCATTTTGCCGAGCTCGATCATCTGGTCGGGGTTGAGGTCCATGACCCAGTAGACGAGCGGGATGCGGCGGACGGAGTGGACGAGGCCGGCGGCGAAGCCGCACATGGGGGGCGAGGTGGTGACGAGGAGGAGCTTCGTGTTGCGGGTGGTGAGGCCGGCGAAGAGGCAGAAGAGCATGAAGATGCCCATGGCGAGGGCGCGGAGGGGGATGGAGGCCTTGCCGAAGCTGGAGAAGGGGACGCGCCGGATCTCGACGCCGTCGCGGGTCTCGCGGTTGGGATATTTGATGGTGGGGTCGTCGTAGCCGCGGTTGGCGGAGATGACGCGCACGCGCCAGCCGCGGCGGACCATTTCGGTGGCCGCGTCGTGCATGTGCTGCCCGACGGAGGCGGGGTCCGGCGGGTAGACCTGTGAGAAGATGAGGAGGGTGCCCTTGGTGCTCATGTGGGTCTGACTCTCGAAGAAAAAACCCTCCCGCGTTGAGACGGGAGGGCGGGATGCATCACGCGTTCGTCATGGGCCGGATATCGGCGAGATTCAGCTCGCTCCGACACCGGTCTTGTTCATCATCTGCTCTTCGATCCAGTGGTAGGTGCGTTCCATGCCGTCGCGGAGCTTGATGCCGGGCTCCCAGCCGAGGTACTTGTTGATGAGGGTGTTGTCGGAGTTGCGTCCGTTGACGCCCTTGGGGGCGTCGAGCTTGTACTTGCGGTCGATCTTGATGCCGGAGATGTCCTCGAGGATGTCGACGAGGCCGTTGATCGTGGTGAGCTCGTTGGAGCCGAGGTTGATGGGCTCGAGGACGTCGTCGGAGTCGGTGATCATGTTGATGCCCTTGACGCAGTCGTCGACGTACATGAACGAGCGCGTCTGCTTGCCGTCGCCCCAGATTTCCATCTCGAGGTTGCCGGTGTGCTTGGCGGTGAGGACCTTGCGGGTGAGGGCTGCGGGGGCCTTTTCGCGTCCGCCGTCCCAGGTGCCGAAGGGGCCGTAGACGTTGTGGAAGCGGGCGACGCGGGTCTGGATGCCGAAGTCCTCGCGGAAGTGGCGGCACATGCGCTCGGTGAAGAGCTTCTCCCAGCCGTAGCCGTCCTCGGCGGCGGCGGGGTAGGCGTCCTCTTCCTTCAGCGGGATGACGTCTTCGCTCTTCTGCTTGTCGGCGTTGTAGACGCAGGCGGAGGAGGAGAAGAAGAAGCGGTTGCACTTGCCGCCTTCTTTGGCGGCCATGAGGGCGTGGGTGGTGGTGAGGACGCTCAGCATGCAGAGGGCCTTGTTGAGCTCGATGAAGCCCATGCCGCCCATGTCGGCGGCGAGCTGGTAGATGCGCTCGGCGTCGGCCATGTACTTCATGCAGTTGTCGATGTTCTTGAGGTCGGCCTGGACGTTCTCGACGCCGTCGTGGACCTGGTACCACTCGTCGATGGGCTTGATATCGACGGAGCGGACGTTGTAGCCCTGCTCGAGGAGGCTCTTGACGAGGTGCCCGCCGATGAAACCGCCACCACCGCCGACGACTGCGAGTTCTGCCATGATCTGATCCCTTCTCCTGTGTCTCCCGGGGCGGGGAGCGACCGCGCGGTGCGCGGGTGGTGACGCGGGCGGAAACGGACAAGCCCGCACTGAACTTCTTTTCTCGACACTCGGGGGGCCCCACTGTCGTGCCCCGACGAGCGATTCCAACGTCCGACCGGGTTCTCACCCGAATCATCCTCACCCCCCGGAAGTTCCGCCCCTCGCGCCCCGGTTCGGGAGGCTCCGGCGGGGGGACAAGACTACCGCCGATCCGGTCCTGAGGCCATGCGGGGGTGTTCAGGTCTGGAGAGGATCGGTGGGGTTGGTACGTTTGGGAGGGGGGTGGGTTCGGGGGTGTCGAGATGCGAAATACGAGAATATGTTTGTGTTTTGTTTGACGCCGGGTATGGTCAGTGTCTTCAACTCCTGAGACACAGCTGGAGAAATCGCATGAAGAAGGCGTTGGTGTACGTCGGCCTGCTGCTGGTCCTCGGCGGTGCGGTGACCGCGGCACTGTTGCTCAGGCCAGCGCCGCAGGTGGATATGGCGACCGAGATTCGTGCGGCGGGGTACGACTGGCGGGATCGAGTGACGGGGCGGGACCTGATGTTCACCATCGATACGGCGTACGCATACGGCATCGAGCTGGACCGGATCGAGTCGAACGCCCCGGGCTTGTCGGCGCGTGTCGCGGCGGTTCGGGCGGAGATCCCCGAGACTCCGGACCCACACGTCGAGAAGCTGCGGGAGGTCGCGAGCCAACGCGGGATCGTCATGCCGGCTGCGGGCGGGTTTGTTGAATCCGTCGCAACCGGGTTGGTGGAGTCCATCGCGTCGTCGACGTATTCGCACCTCGGGCTCGATGCGGACGCCGCCGAAAGACGGCTTGAGAACATCGAGGCGATGGTGCGTGGCGAGCGATCTTCGCCTGTCGCGATGATGGCGCACGCGCTCGACGAAGTGTTCGAAACGGACACATTGCGAGAGTTCAGGGAGTTGCCGAGGCAGCGGCTCGAAGTGCGCGGCGGGTCGGGGGACGAGTCGTTCGTCTTCTCGATGGAGGTCCCCGCGAGCTGGGCGGTGGCGGAGCGAAACGCGCGTGCGGCGCGTGCGGTCAGCCGGGGGGGCTTTGGGAATGTCAGGGCTGGCTTCGTGGTCGGTCCGGTTCGGGCGGGGGACGAGGGGTTGTCGTATTTCGCGCTCTCGAATTCGCTGCTGGCGTCGTTTTCAACGTACACCGAGCGCGCGAAGGGTTCGACGCGGGTGGCGGGGATGCCCTGCGAGTGGATCGAGTTTTCGCACACGGGCACGCGGAACGCTCCGACGTGGGACCCCCGCGCGTTGACCATCGCGCGGAGCTACGAGGCGCGTGTCGACGGGTGGAAGATCGGGGTGCTGTTCGGCGCGGAGTACGTGCCGAGCGATGACTCGGGCCCGGCGGATGCTGAGGCGCTCGAACGGCAGTTCGACGGGATGCTCGGGTTGTTTGAGAAGATGCTCGGGAGTGCGCGGATCGAGCGTGAGGCGACAGGCTCGCGCTGACCGCTTCGGGGGACGCAGCGGACGGCGCGGGGGTGGCCCTGTGTCGGCGGGTGGTACAGCGTGTCCGCTCGCTGACGCTCGGGGTTGCTACAGCACAAGAACGAATGGGCCGTGAATGGACGGGTGGGATGTGTCGGTCCCCTCACTGGCGTTCGGGGTAGCTATTGAGCTGCTCGCTTCGGGGGACGCAACGGACGGCGCGTTGCCGGCTTGTGTCGGCGGGTGGTTCTGCGTGTCCGCTCGTTTCCACTCGCGGTTGCTATCGGGCAGCCCGGGCGCTGACGCTTCCGGTTGTCTTGGTGTGAGCCGGCGCGTCCGTGGACCCCGCTCGCTGACGCTCGGGGTTGCTGCAGCACAGGGGCGAATGGGACGTGAATGGACGGGTGGGATGTGTCGGTCCCCTCACTGGCGTTCGGGGTAGCTATCGCTTGGCCTAGAGCTCGACGACCTGCATGTCGGGCTCCTGCTTGGCCTCGACGCTCGGGTAGTGGACGTCGGTTTCGAGGGCGCTGAGGGCGGGGTATTCGCTCGCCATTTCTCGGCGGACGTTGGCGGCGTTGATGCGCTCGGGGCGGTCGATGTCGTTCGCCGTCGCGTAGAGGTCCAGCGCGATCTGGCCTTCCTGCTTGGCGCCGTCGTGCACGGGGATGGCCTGCTCGAAGGCCTGGAGGCGGCCGGCGACGTTCTCGAAGACGCCGGCTTTTTCCGTCCAGGTGGCACCGGGGAGGACGACGTTGGCGGTCTCGCTCAGCTTGCTCGGGAGAGTATCGATGAGGACGGAGAAGGCGGATTTGGCGAGGCTGACCATCGCGTCCGTCGCCCAGTCGCTCGGGTAGTTGCCGGTGATGATCGCGCCGGAGAACTCGCTCGCTCGGCGGCTGATCGCCTCGTAGTCCATGACGTTCGAGCCGGCGATGGCTTCGAGGACGCGTCGGACGCCCCGGGCGTTGGGGGCCTTCTCGGCGTAGATCGTGTAGCCGCCCGGGAAGGTTTTGTCCTCGCCCTGGCGGGGGATGGGGCCGACGGCGAAGGTGACGTCGTCCGCGATGGCTTTCGCGGCGCGGGCGAGGAGGTAGGCCTCTTCGCAGGAGAGCATGGGGCTGACGACGCAGAGGACGTTCTTCCCGCGGAGGCCCTCGACGGCGGTCTCGACGGCGCGGGGCCACTCGGTGGGGACGCGGGTGTCGAACTTCTCGATGATCGGGGCGCTGAGGCGGTTCTCGTCGTGGACGAACTTCCAGGTGTAGCGGATCTCGTCGGAGATCCACCACTTGTTCACGTCCATGTTCGTGCGGGGCTTGATGCGGTAGACCTGGCCGTTGTTGTGCTCGATGAGGATGTTGTCGCCGGACGCGGTGATGCCGTCGATGCTCGGGGCGCTCTTGAGGAACCAGACGCGCTGGGCGAAGAGGAAGTCTTTATCGAGCAGAGCGCCGACGGGGCAGAGGTCGATGACGTTGGACGCGATCTCGTTGTCGAGCGCCTGGCCCGGGAAGACGTCGATCTGCTCCTGGTTGCCGCGGCCTTCGACCATGAGCTCGGCGGTGCCGGACACCTCGCGGGTGAAGCGGACGCAGCGGGAGCACATGATGCAGCGGTCGGAGTAGAGGTAGACGTTGGGGCCGAGGTCCTTCTTGGGCTGCTTGACCTTGGTTTCCTCGAAGCGGGAGACGCCTCGTCCGTACTCGTAGGAGTAGTCCTGGAGGGAGCACTCTCCGGCCTGGTCGCAGACGGGGCAGTCGAGGGGGTGGTTGATGAGGAGGTACTCCATCACCGATTTCTGGTTGGCGATGGCCTTGGGGGAGTCGGTGTAGACGACCTGTCCGTCGCCGGCGGGGGTCTGGCAGGTGGGCAGGAGCTTGGGGAT